AATCACAAATGCGCGAAACAATCCAGCTCAAAAACCTGCAAACAGTGTAACGCAGCTAAAATTGTATGACATCTTTATCAAATATATAAGAACAATTTAAAACACGTTGAAACATTATATTTTAAGAATATTTGTAACAATCTACGGCCAATAAACATATAAAAAAATGCGGTTTGTATAATCGAAAATTTGAACTAACTATGTAGGTATTTTTATTTAAACCAGAATTTCTTGGTTATTTGAACTTTTTCGCTAATACATTTTGTTGAACGTTTTATTGACAGCAACGTCAAAAGTCTATGTATAGACTTGCTATACTTTATCAATTTACTTATGTGAGTAATACGACGGGTGTGACATATGGAATAAGATCTGTTGACACTTCCGGAGCCAGTAAAGTCACCCCACAAATTGTTGTAGGATTGGTGATCTTCAGTCTCCCGTTTTTTGTAGTGTTTTGTAGATATTTGTAAGTTTTTTTTTCAGTTTTTTTCAAACATAGACGATTGATATTGCAATAAACATAACTTTGTTCCAGTTTTACAAATTGAAAACTAAAAAATTGGAAGAAATTAGCTCATTTCTTTTGTTTTTCTCTGGTGTTACAGAAAAGAAATGCCAGCACGGTTTGATGTGAAATTGACAGGCTATGCATTTACATGTGGCATACAAGAGAATGCAGAAGTTTCGCTGCGGAAAGATAACAGAAAAAAAGGTAACACAATTAACGATTGAATGTCAGGTTTTATATCTGAATTCGAGTGTTTCTTTGACTCTGTGGTAGTTTTCAATAAGCATAACTACTAGTACTTCACATGCTATAAAAAGTTCTGCGTTTTGGGGAAATTTTTGTGTCCATTTGCGATCACTGTCGATTAATGAGGTGCTTTATGAATACCAGAACAATTGCCCTATCCTGCAAATTGATAGGTCACTTTTGTTTTGTTTTATACCGTCTTTCCGGTGCTTTGAACAGAACATGTAAACACTGATGATGCTAAAATAAATCCATATGGTGTGAACGTAAATACTGAAGCAGTTATGTGTGAAAAATCGCACAATGATGTCATTGCTAATAATGATTCACATATGCTGATGTTATTATTCTAGAACGTTTATGAATTTGACCATGCATGATGATTTAAGGTTTCAGTATACATCGTTAGGAAATTAAAGTTTGTTAGAAAGATACATATACATTGTAGTAAGGATGGTAATAACTTTTGCACAAATTAACCAATCAATAATCGAATACTTGAATCATTTTTGTGCAATCAATTATCATTCGATTACTCTGATTTTTGTATGTAATAGATAGCAATCGATTACTTAACCAAAAAATATTACATAACTTTTCAGGAACTGTCAATAACGTATTATAATATAAAAAAAAATAAAAAAAAACGTTAAACCACGTAATTTCGACGTTTGTTGGGATTTGTTCCCTCTAGAATACCATTTCGAATACAAAAGATTTACAAATTTTTTAAAAATACCGAACTCAAAGGAAAATTCAAAAAGGAAAAGTTAATAAAAAATGACAACATCAAAGGTTATCAACCAACGAAATGAGAGGAAATTAACTGTTAAATGTATATAACTTAAAAACTAAGTCGATGTCACTATGATTATTTTATATCATTTAAACGGCAAGGTATGTATCAACAAGATACCATTTTTAAAAGAAATATCTATGGACCTGAAATCGAAAGTTTGATGATGTAACAATTTTGAGGATCGTCTTCGATTTTATATGCTTTATACAAATGTTTTACTATTTTGAAGGATTTCAATAAGTAATATTTCAGAAATAAAAAGATGTAGATGAGCTATTAAGTTGACCATTATTCATAAGATATTTACTCTAACTGACCTTAAGGAAGTCTAATTTAGGTAAACTATGTACAAAATTAGCCGTTGTGGATTTAACTATTTGATATTCTATTGTGATAATTAGATTTTCGTACGTTTACGTATAAATAGAAAGCGCTATTAACATTTTACTGCTGCTATTATCTAATGATGCTTCATTTCAAGGTGTAGTACAAGTAATACGAGATGATGAAATAGAAGTACAATGGTGGTCTAATCATGACAGAAGTCGACACAATATACTAGAACTACAATGCGAGGATACGACAGCACGGCAGTTTTATCCGGATCATCTCCCGATACTTGGAAAAGGTTACTATCATTTACTCTTCAAACCATGTACTTATAATATACGGTCATGACTGTACTGAAGAAACACAGGTAATATTGATCTTCCCTCAAACATAAACAGTATTGAGCTACACCTGACTATTGTATTGTATTTATTACTCGTACAAATTAATCGAAATGAAGAAAATACCAAACAGAAATAGGTCACTTCAACATTTGACACTATAAATATGGTTCAATTTGAAAATCCCATTAAAAGGTCAGTTTAGAAGCTTAGTCTTAATTCATAATATATTGGAAGGAAGTTCCGCCGTTGCAAAGCACATATCTGTATTATTTTACAATGAATGAAATTTTGAAAGACCAATACAGAATATTAAATATCGATATTTCATATTATATTTGTATTCAATTTTATTTGTGGAGCGATACTTATAAAATTAAATAATATATGAAAAAGAGGAAATTATACCGTATTGCAAATCATTCAGCACAACAAATGGCCTTCGGCAATGTCAATATTTTCCGCATGCAATGGTACAATTTACAAATTTCATCACGTCTTAACACAGATTGACAAAAACATATATAGATGAACACAATTAAGGGTTAAGCGCTGTTGTCATACTGAAACAACAGACTAAGTTCTTGTTCAGTTTTATCAGACCTCATACCAATATATGTAAATGAAAAGTAAATAAAAAATGAGGTTGAAAAAGAGAGGTACCTGAGGTACTAATAATTTGCATGTTACGATAAATTCAAAGGACGGGGTCATATTTAACCTCGTTCTTTCCATTAAACTGGAGCTAGTTTTCACCATTGAAGGTGAAATTCTGTCAGAAGGTACAAAAAAGAGACGACAATAAGAGAGCACAATAATGTGACGTAAATGAGCAAAAAATGTATTTAAACAAAGAAATTTATTATGACGTGTCTTATTGGACACTGATTTCAGACCGAAGGTCTGTTTGAGTCAAATACATATATATGCAATTGAAACACATTTAACCACTAGAGAGTATAATACACTCGTAAACGATTGTTAAACGCAAACACAATAAAGTGTGGCGTATCTGGCCGTAACATTATTTTTTTGCTATCAAACATGAATTTTAAATGCTTTTTTGATAAAGTTGATTTTTAAGTAGATACTCTGGGCTACCTTGATGTTGATTTCAGCCACAACAATATAACGCAAAAGGTAAATGATATTTGAACGTACATTGTACGTTATGTTTTAATAGAATACATATTTTCTACAATTTCATACATATAGTAAAGATATACACAGAAATTTATCATTTCCTTTGTCTGTTAGTGGTACTTCTCCGCACTAGATATTAGATGCAATAGAGTCCAAATAATTTTTGCCTTGGTAATTTGACACACATACTATGAAACTTTATAAACACGTTTATAGCTAAGTCTTACTGTACCAGAGATAAATCTATTTTGTTAACTGAACATTGTTGGGTGGAATATATAATTAAATATATGACATTTGAAAATTGCGTCTTTGTTAACTAATTTAGTGTACTCACTTGCATTCGGCTATATTATTTATCAATCGAAAGCCAATTATTTAAACTTTTGTATCGTGCAATTTTCGTTTATACAAGTTCGAATATTAAAATGAACATAGTATGAGAAATTACAATGAAAGTAAAAAAAAAGAAATATTAATGAAAACCAAAGTATTTGTATCTATTAAACTGTTAATAAGCTCAAATCAAATAATATCCTTTACTCAGTGCTACGAAAGTTCATGACATCATCAATTGACACGTATACAGCTGATTGCTGATGTAACAACTAATCAGAATACATCATACAGTTTCCCAAAATTTCGCCATCTGCTGAGAAAAGTATTCATATCATCAAAGAACAGGCTCTAGTAAGGCTAAATGCTAATTAAAAACCGATAAGAACATTTTACACTGTTTTCCAAAATTCTGCCCTTTCGCAAATACGGTTTTACTTACAATGTTAAAAATTAAAGCGAATAACACACGAAGGAATTGTACTTGACCTTTAATAAAAGGATATTTCCATGATAATATACCACCATTGTAGTTTTAAGTAATGAACAAAATATCCTTGAACTATAAACGATAAACTCGTTTATTTTGGGAATATAGATATTGATCTACTAAGCAATTACTTTATTGTATAGAAATTTAAAAATGTTTGGAGGATTTTTAATAATGACACTTTTCTATAACTATTGCGCAGTTAACCATGCATTTAATGATTTTCAGTTATTGTAATCTGTTATATACAATTTAAAACTGTACGATTTAAGAAAACTAAACTCTTAACGAGTTTCAGAACAGATCAATTTGTTTAATTTACTTTCATTCCTGGCAAAATTACGGTTTTTAGTAAAAGAAACATCATTCATGTTTTAAGTGCATTTTATAAGTGACTATTATTCTATGTTCTATACAGTTTTTTTTTCATACATTGTTTTATTATTCGATAGACATATTAAGCAAAATTGCTGATATATTGAAAATGAGATGTGGTCCGTCCTTGACCTTTGTTCTCGATTTGACGGATATTGCTCAGTAAGAATATTTGACGAAGTTGACCGAATAAAAAGATATGCTTTCGAATGGTATATGATTAAGCCGTATGCATGGTGGTTGCATTTAAAATAACTTTTATGATTAATGTCACCCGGCTCATTTGAAAAAGGCCACCAATAGTATACATATCTCAGTAATAGAATATAAGGATATAAATTTTTGTATGTTATGAAAGATGATTGTAAACGTTTAATTAAGATACAAATTAAATTATACAGATTCAGGTGAACCTTCGGTATTATATTGAAAAGGAAAAGAAACGATCATATAAACCTGTGTTGTATCTTATTTTCGCAAATAAACAAGACACAGATAACAAAAAAGACAGATGTACACTAATGGATGAAATCTTTGAATATTCAAGTAGGTAACTCTAAACTTTTTACATTATAGTTTTATTATGCATTGTGTATTTTATGTCTATAACTCTTTATTTTCGGGTTTCTATCATGCAAGACGTATTACAAGAAGTCATTTTCTTGTATCTGGATTTTAATCATTATTTCTTATTATGATTTCGATTTTTCTTTAAGGTTTACGAAAGAGAATCGAAAGATACTAAAAAGTAAAATCACAAAAAAATGAACTCCGGGGAAAATTCAAAAAGGAAAGTCCTCAATCAAACGGCAAAATCAAAAGCTCAAAAACATCAAACGAATGGATAACAACTGTCATACATCTGACTTTATGACTCTTGAACAGCGGTATACTACTGATGCCTTTATTAGTACAGGCATTTTCGTATGTAGAAAATGGTGAATTAAACCTAGTTTTATAGCTAGCCTAACCTCTCATTTGTATGACAATCGCATAAAATTCCATTATATTCACAACGATGCAAGTGCAAGTGACATTTAAACCCGCAAGTCAAAAAAAAACTTACAATGCCATGGCAAAAAACGAAAAACGACAAAAAGGTCTAACAAAAGTAAACGAAAGACAACATTGTAGACTAAAGACTGGGCAACACGAACCCGTACTATATGATAGAGCGACGTCATCAAATAATGATAGATGATTATTATTTTTATTCAGAAATTTAGTAAGTCATATATGTTTAACATTTCACACAGATGATGATAACCCTGGCAGATGATATTATGATATCTTCATAATGTCCAGATTTCTAAAGCTGATGAACATAAAAATACTAACAAACATGTTTAACTCCGCAAAATTCTGTATAAGCCTGTCCCAAGTTAAGAGCCTGTAGTTAAAGGTTGCCGTTGGTTCATGTCTGTCATATATGTTTTTGTAAATTGTTTTGTTATAAATTAGGTCGTTAGTTTTCTCAATTGGATAGTTTTGTATTTTTCATGTCGGAAACTTTTATAGCCGATCATACGGTATGGGTTTATCTCATTTTTGAAGGCCGCACAGTTGTTTTTAATTATTTACATGCACTTCATTTGAACTTTGGTGGATAGTTGTCTCATTGGCAATCATACCACATCTCCTTATATTTATATTACTAATTATAAAAATGTGTGCACGAAATTGACTACTTCGCTTCAGGCTTGAAAATGCTAATATAATTGTTTGCTATTACAATAGTTTAAAAATCATTTCAAAATTAAGGAATGTACATGTATCTTCTGTATCTTCCTTATCCATAGCCCACATTACTTTTCGAGTTTTGGCTTTAATTTGATCCTTTTTGGTTTTATTAGCCTTCAAACGTTTCTATTAGAATTGGACTTTCAAATATTTTGACCTCGCTAAAAATAGAAAAGACATTTTAAATTATTGTCGAATTTCCCACGTGGTGCAGTTAGATTTGAAACATTGATGTTTTAAAAAACAAATAATTGTAAAGAACTGAACTTATTTCAAGAAAAATTAATGTGCATAAGTACTTCGGTTCGTATCTTCTCATTAAATCCATTTCTCAGACTGTTGATTTTATTACAAAAAAACTATGGACAAAAATTAACTTGAATTATAGACTTCTCAACTGCATTATACTAAAAAAGAATAACTATATTATAAATATATAGTATAAACCTATTCCTCTCGTATCTTTCGTCTCTCTTTTGCAAGAGGACAATGATAAAACTGTAATACGAGAAGTGATAAAATATAAGAAAAAAATTTGTTCCGAATGTCTGTTTTGAACACAGATCGATAATCAATATGAATGTTTGATGTATTGAACTGGAACTTTATACGATTGTGGCTCTTTCGTCACATTTACAGATGTTACAAACTAAACGTGCATATACAAGACATACCCATGATACTTGGCATAGCCATGCACAATGACATTATCTTTTTAGAGCAAACGTTTGTATGTCACAAGACACGAATGTGTCCATTATGAACTTTCACATTTTATGTAGAAATATTTAGCCAGTAGCTATATTCCAATCGTTTTGTTCTCGTTTAATACTATCGGAAAATGCAACTTGTCAACAAAATTTTAAATTGATCAGCAGCATACAAGGAGCCCCTTGTTTAGCAGTTGAAGCTTAGAATTTTTGAATCACCTCATGATTTTTCGTTTGGATATTTTTTTTTAAAAGAGAGGCAAAAGACACCAAAGGGATTTTCAAACTGACAAGTTGAAAATAAACTGACAACGCCATAGCTGAAAAAAGAAAAAGACCAACAGACAAACAGTAGTACACAAAACACAACAGAGAAAACTTAAGACTAAGCAGCACGAACACCACCAAAAATTTGGGGTGATCTCAGGTGCTACAGAAGGGTGAGCAGATACTGCTCCACATTTGGCACCCGTCGTGTAGCTCATGTTAGTACAAACCCGGTAACAAGTCTAATTCTAAATGAAGTGTAGTATTTTAGGAACAGATATTGATATTTTTTTCTGTTGTGCCACAATGTTATTTGTTTTCTTCGACTTATGAATTTATTTCTTCCACTTTTAGATCTTTTAAAATACGTTTTTAAACGAATTAAATTTTCAAAAAAGTAGATATATCATATTAAATTAATGACATATCTCAATATAATTCTGCGACGATCATCCTACAGAAAGGACAAAATTACCATGCCATGTCATTGGAAAGAAGGTACTGTTTCTGCATGGTTCTTCACGTGTTGTATGCATTCACCATACCACAAGTGATCATACAATCAAGGTAACTATAGATTATAGTTGAAATAGCTAAATAGTTGTTTTTACATACAGACGTTCTTACGATCAAACATTCGCAATAAAAATTGTACTTATCATAAATGTTTATTTTCAAACTTTGATTATACGGGGTAAATCTCTACAAACGGTTATCATTTAAACAAACTGTGATTCGCTTTCAACATACGCTATGCTCATAGCTGAATGTAACACCTTATCGATGATATAAAACCGAAGCCCAAGATAAGATAGTCTTATAAAACTTTTAAATTTTAAATAATGCTGCAACTAAACGTTTTTTCACATGCAATTGAGATAACATGTGTCATAACTTGCATTTAATTTGCATGATGAACTTTCTTGATCTGTCTATGCCATGTTACTATAGCAAACATTGCACCTTCGTCAGGAAACATTGGGTTAGCATGTTTTAGGTCTTCGTGCTTTCTTTTTACACTTTAGGTCTCGATGATGACGGTTACTCCAAAAACGTGTTTTGGGCATATTAATTGACACATATTTGTTTTATTCTTTGTCTGATTAAAAAAACACAAAAGCTTGAAAATACCAATGCTGTAAAACATGTTTGCTTACACTCACTGGCATCATATATCACTGCAGAGTTTTTAGTTTGATAAAGAAATTATCACGCTCATAGGTTAAACTGTTAGTGTGTTTTATTTTATCTTTCTTACGTATTCTTTTCTACATATTTTTTCTGTGTTCTGTATTGTCTTCCGCATTTCATTTCTTATTTACATATTTTACAACATTATGTTTTACCTTGGGATCAAAATAGTTTGTTTAATAGTTAGTTCAAATAATGGATTGATCTATTTTTGTTTTAATCATAAACAGGAATTAGTGAAGAAAGGATTTCGAATTTTTGAAAGAGGGGATACAAACACCGAAGAAAGTGAAATCAAATACTTCATAAGAATGGCAGAATGTATGTATTCCAATAGTTTAAATGAGGATCGGTTGAGAACAAAATATCTTTATATACTTTCAGCTTCCTATTTGTGAGCTTTCAATTTCTATGTAGCAATTTGCCAGCAGCGCCAGCTGTATATAGAGTATATATATTCCAGTTGAAACTATATTCCTTGGCTTGCGTTTCTTATCATGATTTCCTTGAGAGAGGGTTGCTTGCTGCTCATAAAAAATTATTAAACAAAGTGTTCTAAGTTGAAAACATCCCTGCGAAACTTTTTTTTTATCTTTTATTTGTTTTTCAATAGTCAGAATTTTATATACCCCCTAGACTACCACCTGACAAGGGTATCAAGAGGCTAAATATAGAAAATAATTCAGTATTCAATATATATCACCGACAAATTGATTTTTATAATTATAGTATTTAAGGTTACATACAAATTTTCTCTATCTCTCTGACTTTCTCTCATACAATACAAATACTCTTCACTCATTTGTTTTGCTACAATATGTATCTTGACTTACTTTTTAAAAACAAAATATTGTAAAGACATAACTCAAGGATAATTTTTGCTCATAATATATAAGTATTTTATTTCCATTATTTACAGGCTCCTGACTTTGGACAGGCACATACATACAAAATATGGCGGGGTTAAACATCTTATCGGGATCTTAACCCACCCCCTAACCTGGGACAGTGGTGTAATAGTACAACATAAGAACGAACTATAAAAATCAGTTGAAAAAAGCTTAACTCATCAGATGGATACAAATAGAAATAACGCCCTTTCACCTCCATGCTGTTTAAGGTCTGCCAGTAACTACTGTTGCCTGCCGAAAACTGGGTTTGACATAAGTCTTTTTATCCAACTAAATTTTAAATAGATATTAAAGGAATGAAGATGTAACATATGAAATCCACCTTGTGATATATCACCAATAAGTGTGTTTCGCTTAATTCTGTCTGGTTTTCCACTCCATATAAAGTATAAAATAGTGAAGTGAGCTCTGTTAACCTGGATTGTGATAGGTTTGGCAATGCAGGCATTAAGTGTACCAATTTCGAAAGAGCAAGTGATTTATTTACTGTAACTTTTCCCAATAATGTGAGTTTACGATGTTGCCAGCTCTTCAGGATTGCAGAGACTTCTTTAATCTTCTTGGCAAAATAAATTTCTGTGATACAGTTCAAATCTAAAGAAAATTTAATCCCCAAAAGTATAAAATTGAATGTGACCAATGAAGTTATAAGTCACGACAAAGAATCCAATCTGAATATTTTTGTTTTCCAACCCATAGTGCTTTCGTCTTTGAAGCATTTATTTTAAAACCTGAAATTTTATAAAAAGATTCAAAACATGAAAGTGTTTCCCTCAACGATATTTTTCTTCAATCTAACATGAGGAATGTGTCATCTGCATACTGGCTTAAAAGTGATTCATTATCATTTACAGTTATTCCCCTTATATCAGGATTACCTTTTAATTTCAAAGAAAGTAATTCAACACGCAGCCTCTTTTCAAATAAAAACTTAGAAGTATGTCCATTATCTATATATATATATTTGATGCGTTTCCCTCAGTTTTAGTTTGTAACCCGGATTTGTTTTTATCTCTATCGATTTATGAGTTTCGAACAGCGGTATACTACTGTTGCCTTTATTTATAACACAACTTGATGCCCATGAGTATACAATTTCAAACCGTTTACAAACTGTACGCCCACAATTAAAGCTTTTTTTAAGATTAAAAAAAAATAACCATTCTAAGGAATCTAAGGCCTTTTCAAAATCAGCAAGTAATAAAAGACCTGTCATATTATTTTCCTCAATATAGTGCATCAAATCATAAAAAAAAGCGTGTGTTCCCACCCATAAATCTATCTTTAATGAAACCTTTTTGTGTATCACTTATGATAAATAGTAAAACTGGTTTAAATCTTTTAGCTATAACAGCAGAGGCTATTTTCATATCAGTATTCAAAAGACTAATAGGACGCCAGTTACTTATATAGAAAAATCATGTTATTACACTTTGATACTGAAAATCAGAACATTTTCCAACCTCGTTTCCAAAATGAAGAGACCGAAAGACGAAAGGACCAACATCTTTCCAATTTTGTTTTATAAAAGTCTACTGTGTACCCATCAGAACCTGGACTTTTACCATTTGTCATAATTTTTTACGAATATGCACATTCTTTAAAAGTTAAATTTCCTTCACAAAAATCTCTTTGTTCTTCTGTGAGCCTAATGTTATGATTAAAAAATGATGAATCATCACAATCTAATTTTCTGCTTGAGTATAAATTTCTATAAAAATTTTGTTGTTCCGTTAGAACTTTTGATTGCTCTGATATATGTTGGCCAATATCATCTATTAGTTCTGTTATTGTTTTTTTTAATAAATTTTTTTTTTTTTTTTTTCTAATTTACAAAAATATTTTGAACACTTTTCACCATTCTCATGCCATTTATTTTGGGATCTAAGCAGTAAACCTTCATCATTCTTTTGTCGACAATTTTCTAGTTCAAGTTTTTAATCAAGTGAAGATTTTTGAACCTCATCATTTGGAAAGTGGTTCATGATAGTTTCTAAATGTAAAAAATCATTTTCAAAGAGGGTGAAGTTTTTTTTCCTCCTTGGATTTATTTATGCTGTAATTTATGGACATATATCTAATCTTCATTTTCAATATTTCAAAAAAATGTTTGATCGTTACATGACAACTCAACAGAAAGAAGATCTTCCATATCATCTGACATATGATATTCAAAAGTAGTATCCTTAATGCATGACTTAACCCTTTGTATATAATCTGCATCACTAAGTAACTGAGAGTTAAATTTCCAGTCACTTTTTCCCAGTTTCTCTAAACAAGCTGAGAGGTAAAATAATTGCTGAGTGGTCAGTTCTATAACCTGGTATAATTTTAGTATTTTTCATTAGTGAAAAAAAGGTCATCTGAAATTCAAAAATAATCTAGACGACTTTGTTTTATAGGTAAGGACTGAAGCCAATTATATTTTCTATCTTCTGAATAGCATGTACACTAAGGATCAAGTAGTTTAAAAACTTCAATGATTTCATCAATTTTTTTACGGGAGTTAGTGTTTCTATTATGTTTGATATTATATGTATTCATAAATTTTTCTAATATAACATTCAGGTAACTACATAATAAAACACTTATGTTTTTAAAGGATAATTGTTCTGCATTATAGTATAAAATAATGACGGTTCATCAGTATTATAACCATACAAACAGGCAAAGCTCAATCGAAAGCAATGTAACGATCAATATCATCAATAATAGAATTATGCACCACAAAATCCAGACCCATTTTAAACATAACAGAGACACCTGCACTTTTACTGTCTTTAAGACTGAAAAAAACATGTGTTTCCCCATTCATCCTCCCAGTTTTTTTTTCAATTTCTCTTTATTACTATGAGTTTCCTGGAAACACACTAAAGAAGTAATTTTACTCTTAGTCCAATCAAATACATCTGCCCTCTTTTTGGAATTTGAGAAAAGACCCCTCACATTCATTGATAATATCGTTACATTATTATCCATGATTAAAGATGAAGTGATGTTTTATAAACCATATAAGCAAGTTCATAAGTACAAATATACAATTGTAACAAATTTGACATACACAAAGATACACACATACAAACATCAGATGTCGCTGATATTTTTCTTCATTCAACATTGAATGTATAAATTAATTTACAGTATTGCATGTAATAATTATACATACGTCTATCAAAGGAATAGATGTTTTAAAGGGAGAGAAAATTGAATATTTACCTCATTATTAATGTTAGAGTTATTTCGCCTTTACTGTATAGTGACAGTATAATTTATTTTAAACAAATTTATCAAGATGAATATCTATAATACTCTTTACTATTTATATAGGAATATGTAATTCACTACTGATATAAAACAGTTTTTCCTTCCGCAATTATCTTTTACATTTATATCTATCTATTGAAATTAATAAAAAGCTGTAAATTATTCAAAAATTAAATTAAATGATGTAACTGACTCAAAAGATTGAATAAGTTCCCTCTTGCAATTTCTTTTTCATTTTTTCTTCTACATTGTCAAACAGGTCAAATCTTATTCTGCTTCTAGTTTCAGTTTTGGTATACACATTACAGTTGTAAAACCATAGCTTTTAAAAATTTTCAGTGTTCTTAAGTCTTGCCATAAGTCCAATATTGCGTTGTGTTATATCATCATGAAAGTAGTAGGTCCGGTAAGACCGCTTTTTGGCCCCAAAATATAGCATTTTTACAAATTTGTTTAAATGTAAACTTTAATCATTTATTGGAAAGTAGAATACTTGTGCTCCATAAATATGGGCTGTTTTTTTACAGTACAATGCACATGCATTAGGTAATAGTATCATAAGTTCATGTTTTTTTACTGAAATCTTCACAATTTGTGCACTTGTGCTAATTTTAAGACGGTTTTTGTCTAAAATGGAAGTGGCCGCATTCGTGTTCAGTCTTAATATTTAAGTATATGTTGTATTTGTTGATAATACATAACATATATAAAGATTGAGACTATACACTAATGCAGTCACTTCCATTTTAGACAAAAACCATTTGAAAAGTGATGTTTTATGGCATAATTTTTTATGCGACTGTCATACAAGTGAGAGGTTTAGCTAGCTATAAAACCAGGTTCAATCCACCATTTTCTACATCAGAAAATGCCTGTACCAAGTCAGGAATATGATAGGTGTTATCCATTCGTTTGATGTGTTTGAGCGTTTGATTTTGCCATTTGATTAGGGACTTTCCGTTTTGAATTTTCCTCGGAGTTCATTACTTTTGTGATTTTACTTTTTTTTGATAGATTTTTCATTTTTAAGTTTGAATTTGAGCGTCTCTAATGACCAAATCAGTCCAAAACTTTTACAAAAAGTTATTGAATCGACTGAAGTAGACATTTAAGTGTTTCAAAAATGTTAAAAATCTTACATTAGATGTACTTTGAATTTTTTAGCGAAAGCAGCCATTGCCGGACCTGCTCCCCTTCACAATAACAGGATTCTGGTAACCTTCTTTTCCAGTTATTTTGTGGATGGCTAGTACACCACTGGGCTCAATATTTACATTTAGGTCACTATTTACTAGTTCAACAAAGGATTTTTTCAAGTTCTCACCCCTTTTTTAGGAAAGTTTAGCATTCTTATATTAAGTTTTCGACTGTATTGCTCATTATAACTTTACGGACGCCATCACGAGTTGTTTGACCCCAAGAATACGCGTCAAGTTTCTCTAAAACACTATGATAATCCTGAATCGACTTCTTTATCTTTTTTTATTAAGTCTCCCAAACGAACGATATATAGGGTCAGTCCCCAGGGGTTCTCCCGTCCCAAATTATCTAATATCGTGTAAATGGTCTTGTTCTGAAATGTGTTCAGTTGTTTACCTATATTAAACAACCATGATGCCCGCACATTAGGCGTACAAACTACCATCGTAAACAACATAAACGTATGTCACTATTTCATGCTAAAATATATATATATCATAACAGTTTGTTAAATAAACATTGAAAATAAATTTTTATTTTTATTTGATTTGCATTATAATCACAAACCCTTTTCATTTGTAGATGTGTTAGATGAGAAAGTTTTACCAGTGATTATTTCCATGCGTAATGGAGGATTGAACGAAGACGTATTAGTTAGTGCTAGCAGTTTATTTCTCCCAATTATTCGATTGAAGGTACACAATTCTGTTAACAACATGATACACGACTTTTTGAACGTGTTCGATTCGCTCATATTTGTGACAATGCAGTTGATTTTAATGAAAGAAGTCTCTGTTTTACTAAAAAATTATTACACCAGGGTCTTCGATATCACAAACTAGTCAGAACATTTACTAAGTTTTATCATCGGTAAAAAGACATCATTCGTAAATATAAATTAACATGCAGACATCTTATACGTTCAGGTATTTTATCTCCAAACTTTGATGTTAATATTCTATACAAAGCACAAAAATTCCCTCATCACCTCAAAAGCTAACCAAACCTTTAAACAGATTTATTCAGAAGGGATATATAAACGATACTGTTGTCAGGTAATTAAAGATGGCATATTTTGGAATTAATATTAATCAACTCATATGGTCTTTGCATCGGAAATAAACACATTTATTCTAAAACCAGTTGTTGGCGGGTTATGTTTTTCACATATATTTTTATGATGGTATCATACTATCGTAACGGGATGTATTGTGCTTGATGATAGACATAATCTTTCAATCAGTTTAATTGAAGTCTGGAGCTTGCGAGTCAGTAATTATTGGTAGTCCTTTATTCATCTATGTATCATTGTCATTTTGTTTAGTTTCTTCTGTAACCTACTAGTATTCTGAAATCGGATCCTTACATCTTTTAAACTGAGTTTTTACTGTGCGTATTGCTGTATGTTTGTTTATTCTACATTGGCTAGAGGTATAGGAGGAGGTTTGAGATTTCACAAAAACAGCTGAAGCCCGCCTCTGGGTGCGGGATTTTCTCGCTGTGTTGAGACACCGTTAGTGGCCTTTGGCTGTTTACTGCTCGTTGGTCGGGTTGTTGTCTCTTTGACACTTTCCCAATCCCATTCTCAATTGTATTTTGAAGTTGTTAAGTAATGGTCACGCATGGTATCATTCATTGATAATAAAAATTTTCGTTTTTCTGTAAGTAAAAAAAAACAAATTTTATTGATGGTGCCAAAAGATGTAATTTCTAAGATAACCAATTTGATCAAGAGACACTATTCCGCAGATTGACTTTGTGTCTTTTTTTATTTATCTTTTATCGTAGAAAAGCAGTCCAGACGTTACTGTTTTGACCCTTGAAAATGGTTCCATTGAAAAAGCAACTGAACATATGACAAATTTAAAGACCCCTTGGACTGTCAGAAAATCAGAAACTCTTATTGTAATTAAGAATGCGGAAACAACAGATGAAATTTCAGCTATCAATGAGGTGCAAAGCAATTTGGATTTCGAGGCTCTTATATGTCATGTGGTTATTGGAGGTATGTCTGTTCCAAATTACGCATCATTTAATAAACTATATAAATGTATGTGTCATGTTACTGGTACTTCATTTTTCTTATGACAAAAGAAGCTATTATGTAGTTTTATATTTCATTTTTTTTTCACTGTGATTATGCTTATAAAATGAGAACACACCCTTATTAGTTGAATAACCCAGACTAGAGTGTTACTTACCTGGGATTATTTTTCTAGTTGTACCATTTCATTTTTCTCAGACGATTGTACATCCAAGATTTATCAAACGAAAAACATACATAATCCATCAATATGCATAAATACTATTTTTGGTTCTCTCACCCGAAATACCACTTTAGGTCACACATATACACATCCTTTCAATCCCACTACAAGAAAGACGTGTGTATCCAATGAATTAAAATATAAATCTGGATGAAATTTAGTCAAGATCTTTATATAGTAATTATTCTTCTGTTCAAAAATACTTCCTTAAGCCAGTAAATGGTCAGCTTGTTCTTAAAGTCTGCCTGTGGACTAGCGGGTACAGCATGGGAAACCTGAAAATAAAATCATTAGAAAATGAAACAAAATTTAAAATGTTATAATCTGAAGATTCGTTCTTTATATTTTAGGTGTATTTTAAGTCAAAGAAAGTCCAAATAACTGTCCATTCATTGAAAATAATGGCCTCTGCTCCATTATTTCCCAGGAATAGACAGTTATTTGGACTTTCTCTATAACTTATATTCCAAATTTCTCTTATTGCCAAATATTTTTCTTGAAATAATAAATTTTAATCGACAGACAGCTTTACTGACATATGTGTTTTCTTTGTCTTTTTTGATCTATTCGTTAATTTCATTTAAGCTTGATACGATTTTTTACCAGAAATTTTTTTATGCTTAGTACTTGTAGGAAGTTACAATCAATGATGAAATGAAGTCATAAATTACTATCATCTTGATTGGAAAATTGCATTAATCGTCCCTGACCATCATAAAATCTTTTCAATCATTTGAATATGTAGGTTTTTGTACATTTCTCTATTCAACAGTAATGCATAGTTCATTAAAGATTATATTGATTTGATGTTCACAGAAGAATAATATGAAAATTATGAATAATGAAATTGTTTGTATATTGTCCTTACAAAAAAGACGATTTTTTTCTCATTTTGTAGCTTTAAAAAGATATAAGAAAAATGTTTGGCCTATGCTTTTTTGATCTATTAAAAAAACAATGGCAAAATAATTCCACCTAAAAATACATTTATAGAGTTTGTACATTAAGAATACTGCCTTTATTTTTCTTCCATATTTGCTCAAATACAACGTCCACCAAGCATAGCCTTTTAAAATGAAGACAACGGATTTTGAACGTTTATCTACGCATAGATATTTAACAAATGTTGAAGTCAAGGCAACAATTAGAATACTTTAAATGCATTGCTATTGTTTCGATAAAAATGCATTTGTTTTTTTCATTGTAATACCATCTATATCGTTCGTATCTAAATACTATGTAATATTCGTTAATACAATATCTATTGTGAAATCATTTATTTTTATTGCAGTCTCAATTGCGAATAAACATAGATTATACGTAAGTTTATATTAACATGTTAATAAACATTGTTTTACATTGACTTTCTTCAAAAAAACAGATATTGCATTGTACAATAGACAGAGCATCATGAAACACAACAAACTCACGGGGTGATCTCGGGTGCTCCGATTTGCAGAAAAATATACCTTGCAAACTTTTCATACACAAAATACAGTTGACCTTACGCTTATAGTATACGAGAAACAGACCTAACTATATACAGAAAATTGAGGAGGTCCATTAGAGTAGAAGATCATACACCGAAAATGAAAACAACTGGCATATATAACTGATCTTAGGAAAAGTTGGAATATAGATTTGGTTAATGTTTCTTTTCCAACAATAAGACAACTCTAAAATTTCAAACCGGTAGCAAATGGAGTATCCCTAACACAAACAATGTCAACATAAATATTAATCTCTTTTAAACTATATTAATAAACAATAACCCTTTTTCGATGGATCTATACGTTTAACTACTACTTGATATTGGTTGAGTGATGATTGGTGTTTTACGCTATTTTAAGCAATATTGGTTAATTCGTGGTGGTTAGTCTTTTTTTAGTGCAGGAAGCCGGAGAGATCAACCGACATTCTACAGGAACACTTACTTGATACACATCGCTTCGGTTATTTTGTACATGTTCATATATTGACTTTATGGAAGTTCGCTCCTTTGTTTTAAAATAACATTTTTTTGAAAAGACTGTTAAAATGGATATTTTATAAAAAAACAGAACTTCAAAAAACACAGAAAAGGAAAAGTCCGTGAGATAAAGTCGATTGAAATTTGGCGGGAAATAATTTTCTCTAGATTTTTTATTTATTTAACATTGACACCTTTTTTCTTTCAAAAACTAGTAGCAGTTAGAATGATTTATTTATTGCCATAACATGGATAAAAGAGGGACGAAAGATACCAGAGGGACAGTCAAACTCATAGATCGAAAACAAACTGACAACGCCATGGCCAAAAATAAAAAGACAAACAGACAAATAATAGTACAGATGAAACAACATAGAAAACTAAAGACTAGGCAACACGAACCCCACCAAAAACTTGGTGATCTCAGGTGCTCCGGAAGGGTAAGCTGATCCTGCTCCACATGTGGCACCCGTCGTGTTGCTTATTTTATTACAAATCCGGTAAATAGTCTAATTCGGTAGGTCACATTCGTGAAAATGAAAGGGTATTGTAGTTACGACATAAGGAACATATCTGATATCATCTGTGAAACGGTTATTCCATAACGGTCAACCAACTCGTGATGGCGTCCGTAAAATTTACGAAGGGATGATTTCAACTTCACCATTTGGAACTCTTGGTTTAATAGCTTCCTTATGAGCAGCAATCCTCTATCAAGGAAATCATGATAGGAAATACAAGCCCGGGAATATCGTATCAAATTGGAGATATATACTCTGTATGCAGGCGCTGCAGGAATGTTGCTACATAGAAATGGAAAGTTCACAATTGGGAAGCTGAAATCATCTCTTTTGTCGTAAAGTTTTGATTTCAACCGACCCTCATTGTCAATTTCTAGATGTAAGTCAAGATATGAGGCAGATTTAACTGTATCTGTAGTATCGTATCCTTTATCTCTAGTTCGATGGGATAGATTCGTTCAACATAGTCACCAAATTTTGTATTATTTAGTGAGAGAACATCATCTATAAAGCGGCGGTTTCCTAATATCTGACAAAACGTCAAAGTCAAGATAAGCAAACATCTTTAAGTAAAATAATACCAACAATTTTAGGAGACAGACAAAGAAATGTATGTAAACGTATTATCGATGTACCTTTTGAAGATTGAAAAATGGCGAATTCCAGAAGACGCCCTTAAAATGGCATTTGATCATCGATCTATTGAATACATTTATGAACAGGTAAAGACAGAATAGACATATATTAACCTACAAGCCTACCATTTTTAAGAAAACGCAAGATAAACTGTACATCGTGAATTCTAATGACTGCCATTATTAAACTAATGATTGTAGTTAAGGACAATAAGTTCAATAACTTATTAAGAATGAGAAGTTCCAACATGTTTTTGTTTTACAATATATAAGGAGATGTGGTATGATTGCCAATGAGACAACTATCTACCTACGTTTAAATGAAGTTGATATAAGCAGTTATAGACAACCGTACGGCCTTCAACAATGAGAGATAACCCATACCAAATAGTCGGCTTTTAAATACCTCGACATGTACTATATGAAACAATTTAATTGGGAAATCTAACTGTCTAGTTCACTTGTAATTTATAACAACACTTACGCAAAACTAATATCATAGACACTTACCAACGACAACCACTGAACTAACGACTCCTGACTTGAGACAAGCACATACATCCTGTTTACACACTGCATTCATCTGTGTTTTAGTGTATGCAAACGTCGAGAAGTGACGACATTTATCAACATGATCCGTTAAAGTAACATTTCCATGTACCATTGAATTTATAATGTGGTTCTTATTCAAAAACTTCTTTTTTATGATGCAAAACAGTAACATTAAGAAGTATATATTTTGATTTATAATATCATTCTCCAAACTATTTACGAAAAGCTAATATGACGGACACGTACCAATGACAACCACTATCCCCTTATTACGGTAATTTGCGGGATTGTCTCGCTGTGTTGAAGACCCATTGATGGTATTAAGCTGTTTTCTGCTCTTTGGTCGGGATGTTGTCTCTTTGGTTCATTTATATTAACATTGTTAATTTCAAAACACAAAGGTAAGAGGATGATAGAGCATTGTCAACCAAGGCAAAGATGTTGATCACCCTCTCAGCTATGTACTATTAATTAATCTTCATATTGTGTTATTATTGTCTATCTATTTCAAATTCAAAGTAATAAACTATGAAGTCTTGTACATAACAATCATCCGTATTTTATGAAGTGCACAACTGATCAAGCGTCTACATGAAGGGTATTAGGACATTAGCCAAGGGAAAGAGTAAATTATATCCACTGTATTAACCAATCAAAATGTGGTATTCTAACATGAAGTTTAATAAATCAAGATGATGACCCAGATGACTGATAGACACTTCAAAAATAATGATTCCTTTTGTATATAAAGCAATTTTTAGACACAAAGTTTGACTTTTGAGGTGTAGCTCTTATATGTGAAGAATGAATTGGGCAAATATATACATCTAATCTATGAGCGCTTATAGGATTTGACAACTGCATTTACTAGTGGATTACGGGCTGATTTGGAAGCTTTGTCCAGGTTAACTGATTTGCCAACAGATTGGAAGGAAAAAGGTTAATATATTATATTGATAATAATTTTAAACATTAGTTGACAATCTTAGTAACAATTTAAAAGTATCAGTTACAAGTATATTGAAATGTGTACATAAATGATAAAGGAAAATAAA